AGATGCAATTGGGAGGCTCTTCGGCTATCAGAAGAGGGCTGGTGGGGTTGAGAGATAGATCTAGATCTCTCTAGACTCTGAAAAATCTCGGAAGTTCAGCTTTGCACTGTTCCTTGTCTTGTTCATGATTATGGAACAAAGGTTCAAAGAAGTCTAATGATCTTTCTAAAGCCATATAGATCATTAGTGACAGAGCTGGAACTTCAGGATTCTACTTCATGCTCTGCCCCCAATAAATACATGTGTTCAATTAATATATTCTGTGTTCAAGAAAATAAAGTATACACATTTCTTTTCCTCAAAGTTTCTTGAAATCTTAATAGTCTTTAATGAATACTAGGAGATATGGGTTCTTTCCTTTGTGAATTTCCTAGTCCTCAGGTGATTGTGGAAAGACTATGGGACTACAGGGTTCAAGAACAAAATATGTTGTCTTTTTCTGCCACTTATCTGTGTCATTTCCTCATCTTTAAAATTGCATGGTTCCTGGAACTGATTGATCATCAGAACTTATGACTGAGAAAATCTGAAAGTGAAAACCATTCTTGTGCATTTCTGAGATGTTTCCAAGAATATTCTGATGATGAGCCAGATGTGGGAATGACTAAACTCATTCCTAGCTCTAGGGTTTCTTTACATGCATAAGAGCTAAGATTTTTTTTTTTAATTTAAGATAAAGATCTAAATTGTATTACTCATTTATTCTTACAACAACTCTGTGAAATAAATATTAAATCTTTTTTGTTTTACAAATGGAAAACATGAAACACAGCTTCAATAGTTCAAGTATGTGGAGCTTACTATTAGGAATCCAAAGCAAAAATTCAATTTTACCTGATCCCAGAGTCAGGTCTTTATTTGCCAAGATATTGTGCTCACTTTATATGGTTTTCATTCTGGACCAATTACTATACCTAATCTTCCAAAGAAAATATGATATTCAGTAAATATGATAACTATTAAACAAAAAGTGATGAAAGAGTTTGCTCCTCAAGATTTCAATATTTACTTAAAAAAAAAAAAGTTTGAGTAGCAGTTCTATGTTAGGTACCCTGTTAAGTGCAGAGGGTTTAATTAGTGGCTATCATATCAGTATTTTTGATCTTTGGAGGCCTCAGAGTCTGATGAATAACTATTGTTGCTATTTTAATGAGTGTTGTTATTCATTGAATTCTCATTTTTCTTAGCATAAAATGTAATGGTCCCTATAGACTCAGTGTTCCCAACCTTAGGCTATTTTATTTCATCTAAATCTTCTAAACATTTAGTATTTGTTCTTCAAGCCTCTTTGAATATGTATCATTTTTTCATTCTTTCTTCTTTCAATCTAGCATATTGATTCTTTTCACAAGGATAACCTTAACTTTTGACACTGAAGCTCAGAAATTATTGTTTTTACTATTATTGTCCTCTACTCCTCAATATTAACTGCAAGCTTCAAGAAAGATTCCTCATATTCAAGTATAATATTCTGGGTACCGACATCAGGACCAATATAGGCCCTTGTTTTGATGTGACTTATTTTCTACCTTTTTGCTTGTCTTGCTGTTTCTTGCTTGCTCCACATCTCCCATTGGACTGAGGATCCACAGGGATAAGGTTTCCTCATCCTTCTGAATGTTACAGCTTTCAGCCTAGCATCTGTTGACTATCCAAGGTTTGCTGTTGGCTAACTGACTGACTGATTGAGAAGCTGGGCTGACTGACAAAGGTGGATCAACACCTGTGAAAGCAAATGAAGGAGGGAGAAAAGATGGTCTTGGTAAAACCAAGTATCCATGTCAGTCTAAAGTAGCAAAAGGACAAGGAATGAAGAGAGGATGTGTCAAACAGGTGGATGCAGTATTCAGAGGAGCAAGACTAAGATAATGCTTAATCTAAGATAATCATCAGACTAATGATTAGTCTTAACTGCTTCATGCTCTGGACTATTTCCTAGACCCAGCCCTATTTCAGGATAAGAGTATCTCCTATGTATAATAGTGCCTTTGTTTCTGTTTAAGGTCGTTAGAATGAGAGAGTAGCTATTTTCCCCATTTGTTCTGAACTCCAAAGTTACTTTTGGAGACATCAGGTTATCTCTACACCTGATGAGGAATCACTATTCAGCATGTCTGAACAAATGTAATCTAATCTCTGCTTGAACACTTAACCAGGGTGGTCTCCTACAATGTTGGATAGCTCTAATTTTCAGATTGCTTTTCCTTATTAGAGTAAACTTAATGTGGTCTAAGACTGAGAATTTGAGATCATACTGTCTGAACATGAACCCTTACTTTTCCACTTGCCAACTGTACAACCATGGGGAACTAGCATATGTGTCCTGAGCTGTGGTGTCAGTATCTACAATACGGGATCTTCAAGGCTTTTGAAGATTAAATGCTGTAAGGTGTATAAAATGCTAAGCACAATGTCTATAGTGCTTATCAAATATTAGTTACTATTAGTCAATTTTTTTTTTTTACTTTTATGATTGTTCTTAACTGAAAATTACTTCCAGGCCCCTCATCTTGTACATCTCTAGGGAATGCCATTCAATCTTTAATTTTTGCTTTCTGAAATCCCAGTAGCAGATGCTGAGTTACCCAAATTTCATAACATGAGTTACCCAAGGCCAAGACCTGAAATTGTTGTATGAACTGTTGGCACAAACTAAAGAACACCTTACCATTGTACACATAGATTACGGAGTCCTGGCTAAGATGTGATCACGTCTCCCCATGTTGAAAATTTACTGTTTTTCAGAAGACATAATTCTTTACATTTTGAAACTGAAAAATGATCAGAGCTATAATTAAACCCTTTAGCAAAATAGTCAGTACCATCAGAGCATGGAATTAAACACTGCTTCTCTAAAACTGTGATTGGAGAACCTCACTCTCTGCATTTAAATTTCATTTCTCCAGGGAACAAAGCACCAGGTCTGCATAAAGCTGGTTGGTTGTATAAAACCTTGGTTTAAATCAATTTAGCCAGTGATATTCCTGAATTCAATACTTATTTTTCCTTTAAAAATAAACTTTTTATTATTCATTTTGCTACACTATATCCCATCCCACATACCTTATATCTTTGGGCTAATCAACTCCCATACAGGGTAAAGTAAAAAAGATCCAAGAGATAACATTTATTTTTGATAATGTTATCTCTTTTCAATAATCTCTTCCCAATCCATCCCTCCCATCCACTTAAAATCACTATGTTCAGAGAAATTAATCAGTAAAATATCTATATTTTGAAATAGAATTTGTTTATAAGACTTTATTTTCATGTGCAGAGTCCCTGATTCTGACTTGCTCTATAGTTTTGGCAGGTGTTTTATCTAAGTCTAAATTTCCACTCTGTAAAATAGAAATAATTATTGCAATTACTGCTTTCATAAATATTTCTAATTGTGATTTATCCTTCAGTTTTCATCTTAAATGTAACTTATTTGAGAAGAGAGTGCATGTGTGCATGCTAAGTCACTTTAGTCGTGTCCAGCTCTTTGAGACCCTGTGGACTGTAGCCTGCGAGGCTTCTCTGTAGATGGGATTTCCAGGCAAGCATACTGGAGAGGGTTGCTGTGCCCTTTTCCAGGGGATCTTCCAAACCCAGGAATCAAACCCATGTCTCTTATATCTACTTTACTGACAGGTTCTTTACCAGTAGCACCACCTGGGAAGACAGTGCACATAGATTTAATTACTAATTGCCACAACTTAAATCAATTTGTAATTAATTATAAATTGAGCACAAATTTAATGTCTAGAATCTTCAATTCTTTGGAAACATTTCTAAGAACAAGAACTTAAACACAGGGTAACATCTGCTTTGTATATCATCATTTTATGTAAAATTTAGCACAGCATTTGGTATACACTAAAAGCTAAATAAATATGTGCTGAATTGACAGATGGAAGATTGTAGAAATACAAATACTTTGGGATCTTTATTATGTCAATCTATGTAATTCTACACAGAATTAAAGATTTTCTTATCGTCAACATTTGATAATCTATCAACAGTAGATAGCCAATGTGTAACTAATCCCTAACACCAAATAATAATTAAAGACTTAAATTTCTCAGATGCTAAACCATAGGATTATTTGTCATATATTAAGGGAAATAATTAGCTTGAAATGAAATAAAGTAGTCCAACATAAAAAGTGATCCTATTTCCTGCCACAAACTCCTTCATTTTCACACTTTTTACTGGGAACAGATATTAAGACCACTGAGATAAACACATTTCACAAATTCTCTTTCTGGCTAGTTTACCCCTTTTTTTCCTTTTAAGAAAAATATCTGGGAAATATTTTTGTTTAATTATGTTTTCCTGGATATTGTTCTAACAGAGTAATGATGAGAGGTCTGGGCAGAGTTAAGTAAAATAAATGTAACTCTTTTTTTCAAAACAAGAATAACAAATGATGAAATTGACTCATCAATTAAGAATGTTTGAGTTATAGAAACTATGTATTTAATAACTGACTAAAGGAACTAGAATTTAAACCAGATATATGTGATGCTGAAAGAAAGCTTTTCTCTACTACATCAGTGTTTTCCATTATAATACATAGATGTTCAGTGTACATGAAATGATTGTAAATGATATATGAAATACCTTTTTTTTTCCTAAGATGTATTTAGGAAATTTTATTATTGATCATATGACTAAATGTATTTACATTAAATCAAGTAAATCTGAAAGACTTATATATAAGGAAGACATAGATTTGACTAACATCCAAAATATGGTGTACAAACATCCAGGATTTGAAAATCACAGTACCGTATCATACTGCTAGAGAAGATTGTCAGTCTCTGGTCCCAATTCACATGTGGTGGCAGCAGATATTATAACGGCTGCACTGTCACTGAAAACTAGGCAGCATTTGCCCCAGTTCAGTAGCCCATGTAGAAAATCCCTGAACACTTTGTATTTCATCTATGACTACTGAGGACCGCCAAGGTCACCGTATGCTCAGCTTCACACTTGGCCTGCTTCCTCCACCTTCACTCCAGTATCCCCGTCCTCTTTAACTGCCTTCTCACAGCCTCCTTGATCTCCTTGTTGCGCAAGCTGTAGATAAAGGGGTTGAGGAAGGGCGTGAGCACTGAGTAGACCACAGCCAGGGCCCGGTCATAGTCCAGGGAGTAGCTTTTCTTCAGCCGCACGTACATGAAGAAGATGCTCCCGTAGAAGATGAGGACCACAGTCAGGTGGGAGGCACAGGTGGAGAAGGCCTTCCTCTTGCCTGCAGCGGAAGGAATTCTGAGCACTGCACAGATGATCTGCACATAGGAGCTGAGGATGAACAGAAAGGTGGCCAGGATCTTGCAAGAATTGATAATAAAGTCCACTAGGACATTGATCGATGTGTCAGTACAAGCCAAGCTCAGAACAGGAGGGAAATCACAAAAGATGTGCTGAATGTGATTGGGACCACAAAAAGGGAGGTGGGAGACCAAGGAAATTTCAGCCACTGGCCCAGCCAAGCCTCCCAACCAACAGCCAACAACAATCTTGACACAGAGTGCTGGGGTCATGTGAGTAGGATAGTGGAGGGGCTGACAGATGGCTAAGTATCTGTCATAAGCCATAGCTGTGAGAAGATAGCATTCAGTAGCCCCAAGAGAGTGGAAGAAGTAGATTTGCAGAAGGCATCCAGAGAAAGAAATGGTCTTCTACTCACTGAGCAAGTTTGACAGCATCTTGGGAATGGTAGCAGCTGTGTAACCAAGCTCCAGTAAGGAGAGCATGCTGACAAAGTGGTACATGGGTGTGTGGAGCCGGGAGTCCAGGCAGACCACCAAGAATATCAGCAGGTTTCCCAGGATGGTAGTGAGGTAGATTAGGAGTAAGAAGAGGAAGAGAAAAGCCTGAACACCCTGAAGATGGGGAAAGCCCAAGATGATGAACTCTGTTACCTGGCTCCAATTCCCAGGCTTCATTGCTCTCCATTCATATCCCTGGAATGTAAAATATGGAAGGATGAGGAACAATGTTGAGCCAAAGAATATCTAAGAAGAAGGAAACCCTCAAAGTCCATTTGTCCTTCCCCTGGACCTCCAGAATAAGTCATCTTAGTACATGTTCTATGAGGCTGGACTTTCTATCCCTCCCCCAAACAGTTGTCCACAACCTCCTTCAGAGTATCCATTCTTATAGCCAGACTTAAATTGTCTTCTCTAATTATACAACCTATTTTTGGCCACTGTAATTCCGTCTATAACCAATTTATCTTTCTTAATGGAATCTATAGGTGTTTTAAAATTTTAAATATTCCTCAACCAGATTCATATTATAATTTATATATATTCCTTGTATGAGGTATAAATAATCATTTATACAAATAAAATATTGGTAGTTCACTCCACTAAGATTAAATCGTTTGGACCATACATTTTAATTTCAATTTTAATTCACTTTCTTCTTCGGTGTTCTGGACACCAAAGAATCAATGCTTTCACCCCCAGCTCCATTCCATTTTCTTATGGAAACAGGTGTAACAGCTTCTTTCAAGCAGGTAGATCAGAGTTTCACCTCTTTTGGACATTGGTGAGAATCCTAGCCAAGGAAAAAGGGGGAATAAGTAAATAAAAGAGCCACCAAAACCCAGAGGGCAAATCTATCTCTGCATTTCTACTCCATACTGTGGCCACTTTATCAGTTCTTCTTACCACTTTCCCCCTCCACCAATTTCAAATGCACTTTTCTGATTTGTTGCTTCACAGATAGTAAATGTTTGTTTTTCACTGTGTTGAGGTCAATGTAGCAAAAGTTAACTGAACATTATCTGTGTGTGAGCATTATATTAATACCTAGAACAGGGGCTAAATTGATAAAGAAAATATGGCATCTGAAGTTGAGAAACTAATATTCTAATAGAGAAAATGGAGAGCCAACTAATTACTTTACAACTGTTTACTAGAACATTCTATCATCATGGAAATATGCTACTGTTTTGTCAAGGAACAAAAAAACAAGAAACAAAACAAAACCCAAAAAAATGCAAAAAGTGAACCTCTTGATTCACTTAGCCCACAGCCACTGCCACATTTCCCTCTCTGTCACTGTAATAAACTCTTCCCATATGTAAGCTGCTATATTTACTGCCTCTAATTCCTCTCTTACTACTATTTTGGGGTATACTTGATTAACAAGGTTGTGTTAGAGTCAGGCGTACAACAAAGTGGTTCAGTTTACATACACGTGTATCTGTTCACTTTCAAATTCTCTTCCCATTTAGATTATTACACAATATTGAACAGAGTTCCCCATGCTCCACAGTAGGTCCTTGTTTGTTATCCATTTTGAAAGCAGCATTGTGTGCATGTCAATCCCTAACTATCCCTCTCCAACTTCCTCACTGAATTTCTTCTCTAAGTCTGTGAGTCTGTTTCTGTTTTGCAAATAAGTTTATTTGTATCACTTTTTTTTTTATCTTCCACATATTAGTGATAAGGTACAATATTTTTCTTTCTCTGTCTGACTTGCTTCACTCTTAAACTCATTCTAATTAAACTTTCACCACATCCTCTCCAGCAAAGCCTATATCCTATAGCCACTAATTAGCTATGATTTGATAAATCCAATTGTCACTCTTATTGCTTTGCTTACTTGGACTCTTAGCCACTCTTCATGGAGGTCATCTATCCTGACTCTTGACACACTCTCATCACTTGCCCCTCAGGATGCTATACTTTAGGTTTCTTTCTATGTTAGTGGAAATTTTCTCTCTGCCCTACCTTTTTAATGCCATAGTTTCAGAGGTCAGCATTAATTCTTCTTTTCTCATTTCTTTGTAAACTCACCACTTTGTTAATGTCATCCAATGCTATGGCTTAAACCTCCCCTCCATATATGTGTTGATTTCTAAATGAATATCCCAACCAACATTTCTCTCCCTTATATATCTCTCCCTTATTCAACTGCCTGTGCACATCTCCTATTAATCATTTAGTAGCCATCTCCAAATGAATTCCCTTGGGCACTGCCCATAGTCTTCCCCATCTCAAATGACGGCAATTACAATCTCTCAGCTAATGGACCAAAATTCTCACATTCATCACTGTTTCCACCTTTCTCTCATACATCCAGGATCTATTTTTCACTTGAATCAAGCCACTGTCATCATGCACCTCTGTTACTATAATTGTCTCCTAACAGATATTCTTATTTGCATTTGTTCATCAATACCCTCAAGCTGATGCAGCTACCTGAGTTATCCTTTTAAATTATTAAATTAGGTCTTTCTTTTCCTCTCTTCCATGGCTTGATATTTTACCGTCTTTGCTGTAGATGTTTCCTCTTCCTAAACTTTTTTTCACCAAATATCTACTTGGATATCTTTTTCATTTATTACAAGTTTTTGGCCAAATCTAACTCTCTCAGTCAGCTCTACCTGAACCACCCTAAATAAAACTGCAGTCTCCCTCCATCCTTGCACCTATATCCTGTACTGAAATCACCTTTCACTGTTTTACTTTTCATTTTTTTTTCAATGGTACTTATCATCTTTAACATATTATAAAATGTACTTATTGATTATCCCAATTATTTATTGTTTCTCTCCTTTGTGAGAATATAAACCCTGTGAGATCAAGGAATTTTGTTGTTTAGTTCACTGATATACTTCAAGTGTTTAGAGTTGTGTCTCAAACATGATAACAATTCAGTAAATACTTGTTAAATGAAAAAGCAAATTTATAAAGATAAATGCTTATTTGCATATACAGTAAGAGTTGGAAGAGCAATAAGTGACCTATGGGCTGGAAATGGAGTTCAGGAAAACCTCATAGAAGGCATAATTTCATTTGAAATGAAAAACTGTCAGAATTTTCTAAATGAAAAAATTAAAGTATTCTAGGCACAAAGGTATACTTGTGTAAAGGCAAAGTGTTATGAAAGGTCTCCTCTTTCTGCCCTCCAAGCTTCTTATCACATCTTCCCTCTCCAGACCCCTCTGATCCCATCCAAGCTAATATTATTTACTCTGCTTTGTTCTTAGGATTTTCTTCTAAATCCAAGCAGCATGGCCACCTCATATCAAAACCTTTTTCATTCTGAGAATTAATGTGAATATTTCTCCACTAAGATACCAGAAGACTACTTCTAGACAGAACTCTTCTGTGGGTGACTCTGCTTCAGCAGAATCATTTACTATCAGATATTTCCTCTTTGTTTAGTTTTTTTTAACTTTGAATTCATATCTGTCCACTGCCCGATTCTGCCTTCTCTCTCTTTCAAATCTTGGATGTAGGCATGTCACCTCTAAAAACTTATCCCCACATTTTTATCCAACTCAGATCCTTTCTTTCCTAAATGTTTTACATTCCATCCCTTTAAACTTAAATATAAAACACCATTCCTGGAACTGCTGCTGCTGTTGCCACTAAGTCACTTCAGTCGTGTCCAACTCTGTGTGACCCCATAGACAGCAGCCCACCAGGCTCCCGCATCCCTGGGATTCTCCAGGCAAGAACACTGGAGTGGGTTGCCATTTCCTTCTCCAATGCATGAAAATGAAAAGTGAAAGTGAAGTTGCTCAGTTGTGTCCGATTCTTGGCGACCCCATGGACTGCAGCCTACCAGGCTCCTCCGTCCATGGGATTTTCCAGGCAAGAGTACTGGAGTGGGCTGCCATTGCCTTCTCTGATTCCTGGAACTGCTTCTCTCCATATCTGGCCTCCCAATTCCACTCACAGATATGTTGTGTAGAGACCTTAACTAAACTTTCAGATACTCATGGCTGCAGCCTCCAGGCTGAATGTTAGAAGCCAACAACTTGCTCTTTCCTTTCTCAGAAGCTAAGGTTTCCACCTGACTCCAAAGACTCACAGTATTCTCAAACTCCTTTGCTTCACTGCTTAATGATGACCTGCTGTCATTAGCTCCTTGGATACTCTGCCTGGGACATCAAAGTCACCATGACCTGGCCAGGCATATTTCCCACTGAAAACTAGCACCTCTGCACTCATTCAACTCCTCAGTTCACAATTAGAGAGATTTTGACCAATTCCCTCATACCCAATCAATATGGCAAAAATTACTGATGTTTTCCCCCTTGCACAGTTTTATTTCATTTTCTTTTATAATTTTTAAATGCTGCTATAATTCAGTTTCTGCACCAAGAAATTTTGAGTCAGTGTTGAAAAAGCATTAGGAAATATCAGTCCCTCTAGTGACCTTCATAATTTTGTATTTCTTTGTATGACTAATACGTAATATTCATTGTATGACTTAATATTTTAAGTGCGTCAAAGATTCCATCAACTGATAAAAATGAAAGATCTTTTAATATCTGCAAAAAGAAAGAAAGCTGAAATAAAGAATAAAACGAAACAATCTGAACCAAACTTTATATTGTCTGTATGGTTTTCATTTTTATTCAAAGCAGTGAAAACTCAGATCTTCTCAGCCATGTAGGAATCCATCCTCTTGGCATCCCCCCACAAATGGGAATTAAACTTCTGTTTAGACTGACAGTGCCAGAAGGTCCTTGCACCGTATGACAGTTCTTTCCCACTGTTGAAATAAACCATTGCTGTTTATGGCTCATAAACATAAAGTCGTGTCCTTCCCTGGAGGAAGGAAATGACCACCCATGCCAGTATTCTTACCTGGAGAATCCCACAGATAAAGGAGCCTGGCAGGGTCCTTTGTATGTCCTTTATAGCCCCTGGGGTCACAAAGAGTTGGACCCAGCTGAGCAACTAACATTCCTTCTATGGACCTGAATTCTGAGTTTCACCCACTATTCTTAGTTTTCACTCTG